ATCTGTTTAAAAAGGCCCTTTGTATGCAATCTGTTTAAAAAGGCCCTTTGTTTGCAATCTGTTTAAAAAGGCCCTTTGTATGCAATTGGTTTAAAAAGGCCCTTTGTATGCAATCTTCCCTTTGTATGGAATCTGTTTCAAAAGGCCCTTTGTATACAATCTGTCCTTTGTATGCAATCTGTTTAAAAAGGCCCTTTGTATGTAATCTGTTTAAAAAGGCCCTTTGTATGGAATCTGTTTAAAAAGGCCCTTTGATTGTAATCTGTTTAAAAAGGCCCTTTGTATGCAATCTGTTTAGAAAGGCCCTTTATATGCAATCTGTTTGAAAAGGCCCTTTGATTGTAATCTGTTTAAAAAGGCCCTTTGTATGCAATCTGTTTAGAAAGGCCCTTTGTATGCAATCTGTTTAAAAAGACCCTTTTTATGCAATCTGCCCTTTGTATGCAATCTGTTTAAAAAGGCCCTTTGTATGCAATCTGTCACTTTAACAATTATGCAACAGAATGTTCTGGAAAAAGCATCATTTCTAATGGAACAATTCCTAAACAAGGTCAAACTTATATTTTGGTAAACATGCTGTGTACAAATGACTACTATCTTAAGGCACAATCTATAATCATTGTCAAGAGTTATCCACATAATACAGATATACATAGGGAGATCCATTCATAATGTCAACCAACAAAGATGGAGGAAGATAGTGTGGCAACCTGTGCAATGATGAAGGGATTAGTGGAGTTTTGAACAATCTGACATCACAAAAACAACACCAGCCTCATTTATCAGAAAAAATGTAAGCTACATTCTATTACTGTTGCCAAGAAAACATTGAGATATAAATTCATGAGGTTTCTACAACTTTATTCTTTGCATTTTAATTCTTGGTCCTATCCATAATATAGGACTTAACTCAGATTTTAAGTATGCAATGATGCAGAGTGCACTATTGTACTGTTCTGTGTTTTCATACAGATTGCAGTATTGTACAATTGTGTGTGTTTCTCTGCAGAGTATTGTACTGTTGTGTGTGTCTCTATGCAGAGTATTGTACTGTTGTGTGTGTTTCTATGCAGGGTATAGTAATGTTGTGTGTGTTTCTATACAGAGTACAGTATTGTACTGATGTGTGTGTTTCTATACCAAGTGCAGTATTGTACTGTTGTGTATGTTTCTATACCAAGTGCACTCTTGTACTGTTGTGTTTCTATGCAGAGTGCAGTATTGTATTGTTGTGTGTGTTTCTATACAGAGTGCAGTATTGTACTGTTGTGTGTGTTTCTATACTGAGACAACAACCGAGTGCAGTATTGTACTGTTGTGTGTTTCCATGCAGAGTGCAGTATTGTACTGTGTGTATTTCTATACAGAGTGCAGTATTGTACTGTTGTGTGTGTTTCTATACTGAGTGCAGTATTGTACTGTTGTGTGTGTTTCTATGCAGAGTGCAGTATTGTACTGTTGTGTGTGTTTCTATGCAGAGTGCATTATTGTACTGTTCTGTGTGTTTCTATACTGAGAGCAGTATTGTACTGTTTTGTGTGTTTATACAGAGTGCAGAATTGTACTGTTGTGTTTGTTTCTATACAGAGTGCAGTATTGTACTGTTGTGTGTGTTTCTATACTGAGACAACAACCGAGTGCGGTATTGTACTGTTGTGTGTTTCCATGCAGAGTGCAGTATTGTACTGTTGTGTGTATTTCTAAACAGAGTGCAGTATTGTACTGTTGTGTGTGTTTCTATACTGAGTGCAGTATTGTACTGTTGTGTGTGTTTCTATGCAGAGTGCAGTATTGTACTGTTGTGTGTATTTCTATGCAGAGTGCATTATTGTACTGTTCTGTGTGTTTCTATACTGAGAGCAGTATTGTACTGTTTTGTGTGTTTATACAGAGTGCAGAATTGTACTGTTGTGTTTGTTTCTATAAAGAGTGCAGCATTGTACTGTTGTGTGTTTCTATACTGAGACAACAACTGAGTGCAGTATTGTACTGTTGTGTGTTTCCATGCAGAGTGCAGTATTGTACTGTTGTGTGTATTTCTATACAGAGTGCAGTATTGTACTGTTGTGTGTGTTTCTATACCGAGTGCAGTATTGTACTGTTGTGTGTGTTTCTATGCAGAGTGCAGTATTGTACTGCTGTGTGTGTTTCTATACAGAGTGCAGTATTGTATTGTTGTGTGTGTTTCTATGCAAAGTGATTTCAAACCATTTTTTTTAACATTGCTTTTTTTGGTGGAGTTAATTCTTTGTGATAAAATGTGATGAAGGGGGGGATCCATTAAAAATTCTATGATGTCATATGGATGGTCCCTAGCTATCCTTTGTCCATAATTATTTTACATAGCATTTGAGTTCAAGGTCAGTATTGTTGACAATTGGAAAAGGTTTTCCCATTGGAGCCATCATATTCCTTTACAATGTAGGTCAAGTGAACAAATAATATATTTCCTTTTCAGTATCAGTCTGTTGGAATCCAAAATCAAAATTGACAAACATGTTGTTCACATCTGACACAATGTGTGAAGAATCATTTATTTAATATCTTCATTGGAAATACTAAAGTGCTCATTGCCTTTTGGATTAATACATTACTGTTGATGTTTGTGAACTCAATAAAAGACATTCTGCATTGCATCATTGTGGTACATCAGGACATTCAAGACTATTGGAATTCATTTGGAACATTCTGTATTACTGGACATGAAATAGGACATTTAAAATTATTCGGAATTTAACTCACAAAACTTAAATTGTTGGATTCACTTCTTTCTATTATATTAAGGCCTAAAGTCAAAACAATCTAAAGGAATGCCAGGTTTTCGCAACAGTACATGCATTTATTCTATATAAATTTGAAAACTTGTTGTTGTTGTGGGGCTTAACACCATTTTTCAGCACATGATAGGCTATACATGGCAGCCAGTATTAATGGTGGAGGAAGAAACAGAGAAATCTGCAGAAAGAACCACCGACACACAAGAAGCTACTGGCAAGCTTTCTCACGTATCCACATTCGCCGAATCTTAGACTCGAACCTACGCAGACAGAGGTGAAATGGAAGTGATCCGTAATGGAGAGCGTTTTAGACCACTCGGCCACTCAGGGCCCCTTGTAAACTTATAAAACTGGGGCATTTATTATTTAAATCAGCTAATAAATTATACATTTAATTAACAATAATATAAGAAATTCTGTATTATTTTACTGAAGTTAAAGAGAAGATCTTACCATTTGTGTCACCTTTAGTTCTTCTATCATTGGGTTGTATAATTCTAGATGTACCTCACAGAAATCCCCCTCCATCCACCTAAAATCTAAAAATAGAAACATACATCTCAATCTGGTACAAGTCAAGTCAATTATTCCTTCATTTGATGTAAGCCCCTTGTTTATAATACAGGATTGTATATGTCAGTAATCATTTTTATATTATAGGACTGTACATGTCAGTCATCCTTCTTATGATATAGGACTGTACATGCCAGCCATACTCATTATAATATAGGACTGTACATGCCAGCCATCCTTCTTATGATATAGGACTGTTCATTATTATAGTATAGGAATGTACATACCAGTCATCATTCTTATGATATAGGATTGTTCATCATTATTATAATATAGGACTGTATGTGCCAGCCATACTCATTATGATATAGGACTGTACATGCCAGTCATCCTTCTTACAATATAGGACTGTACGTGCCAGTCATCCTTCTTATGATATATGACTGTACGTGCCAGCCATACTCATTATAATATAGGACTGTACTTGCCAGTCATCCTTCTTATAATATAGGACTGTACGTGCCAGCCATACTCATTATGATATAGGACTGTATGTGCCAGTCATCCTTCTTATGATATAGGACTGTACATGCCAGCCATACTCATTATGATATAGGACTGTACATGCCAGTCATCCTTCTTACAATATAGGACTGTACGTGCCAGCCATACTCATTATGATATAGGACTGTACTTGCCAGTCATCCTTCTTACGATAAAGGATTGTTCATCATTATTATAGTATAAGACTGTATGTGCCAGTCATCATTTTGATAATATAGGACTGTACATGCCAGTCATTGTTTCTGATAGTACAGGACTACATTCTAGTCATCATTTTGATAATATAGGACTGTACATGCCAGTCATTGTTTCTGATAGTACAGGACAACATTCTAGTCATCATTCTTATACCTAAAAAAATTCTGATTACCTTACTTATTAATTATATTATGGAAAAATGTTTTGAAAGTAAGTGATATCAATTCTAAGATCTCAGACTAGGAGTCTGTCCAAGCAAGTTATATCAATTCTAAGATCTCAGACTAGGAGTCTGTCCAAGCAAGTTATATAAATTCTAAGATCTCAGACTAGGAGTCTGTCCAAGCAAGTTATATAAATTCTAATATCTCAGACTAGGAGTCTGTCCAAGCAAGTTTAGTCAATTCTAAAATCTCAGACTAGAAGTCTGTCCAAGCAAGTTATATAAATTCTAAGATATGGAGTCTGTTCAATTGTAACACTCTGTCCAATACAGTAGTCTGTACATGCAATATTTGTTCTCTAGCCTAGTTTGTTTGATCTCCACTGGATGAAAGGAAAAAGTTAATGTAAAAAGAAAAAAACTGAATCAATGACAGTAAAATGGAATTTGTATGCAGCATGTTTTAAAACTATTTTTTAACATTTGTGTGTGTATGTGTGTGTGTGTGTGAAAGAGATTTGAATTTTTATCATAGCTTTAATAATTTTTCAGTGATATCGCTATGTCTGCAGTGTAGCATTTTATAGTGACATTTAGCATTGAGACATCACGCTGTAGAGACATCATGCTGTAGAGACATTATGCTGTAGAGACATCATGCTGTAGAGACATCATGCTGTAGAGACATTATGATGACACCAGGCCAACCAGTCCTAACAGTGACCTCTTAATGCTGAGTGCCTAGTGAGGCAGCTGTTGGTACCATTTTTTATAAGTCTTTGGTATGACTTGATCATGGTTCGAACCCATGACATTCCACAGCTGAGATGGATGCTTTAACCACTAGGCCACCAGAACAGTCCTCTGTAGCATTTCAACTATGTAATACAATCATCATAGTACCTTTGCAATATAGTATCTTTGCATCCTTGCTAGCACAGATTTAATTCTAATTTAGATATTCATAAGGGTTAATACTCATCCATTTAAGGTCATGGATATTATTTTTTTCATGTTGAGTCCTTCACCATTTATCTACATCAAATCATTTTATATTTAATACAAGTTCTAATCAAACTGTTATGTATATTTAATTTAATTGTTTGTTAGTTTTAATTTTTTTACTTCATTACATGTTATTGCAATGTAACATAGTTTATTGGACTTGACTTTGTCCAAAATTGAGTTCAGTTCTGTTTGACCTAATTGACTTTTTAAAAAAGATTTATTTCATTGATGTAAACAACTAATAGTAGCTTCATTATCCTCTATGGGTATGAGGTTATTGACCAAATTATTATTCAAGTAAACATTTTGATTTAGGTCAGGGTTTTAGAGATTCCAAATTGAATTTGAAGGGTATTATGTTTTAAATAACACAGCTCATTAAATCATGTTAAAAGTTATTTTACATTAGGTAATGGCTGTTTTTAGAAAAGGCTAATTTGTGACCTTGAGGTCAAACAGAAAAATATTATATTATGACTGTCAGAATTGTACCAGTTGTGCTTTAAATTGTATTATTTTGTGTCCAGCTTAAGATGAGGGTTATTTTCTTGAAATTATTGAATTCAAGTGATTCTTTTCTCTAGAAATACAAAAGTGCTCAGACAAAATTCTTGAATGTGACATTCAATGGAATTTATACTTAATTCAAACAAGGAATAATATTTCTGTGATTCAACAAGAAACTAGATACATCAGCACTTAACTGACTGTAAAAAAAATTTCATAGCCTTCAAGTTTTTATCTCATCAGGACTTGAACTCAGTTTCATTCAGGACTTTTTATTACTAGGACTTGTTTTTTAACACACCTGCAAGACACTTAACTCAGAAATGACTATAAAACCCATCTTCCACACCTGCAAGACACTTAACTCAGAAATGACTATAAAACCCATCTTCCACACCTGCAAGACACTTAACTCAGAAATGACTATAAAACCCATCCTCCACACCTGGAAGACACTTACATAACTCACAAATGTCTTTAACCCATCTTCAACACATGCAAGATATTTGCCTATCTCAAAAATGTCAATAAAACACCTACCATCCTGAAAGCCCAGACTTAACTCAAAATGTCTGTAACACATCTGCCACAGTGAAAGTATCTGACTTAACTCAAAAACTCCTGTACATATAAATATACTGTATGCTTCCTGCTATGAAGTTTTATCCAAAATCTACATGTTCAGTAGTGAAGGCTGGACTAACTACTACTAAACAACTGAATAATCGACTGAAAGGCAAAAAAATTGGGATAATAAAAGACATTTTTTGTTTGTGTACATACCCACTTTGGTTTTATCCTTGACTGGACTAGATCCAAGAGACAAAGCTGTGAATATGAAGACACCCGAGTCAAAATTGTCTCCCTTTGCTCTGAGGCTCAAGATGGGGAGACAGACTAACAAGTTTGAATGACCTGAAAATTATAAAGAAGACTCAATCAGTCACCATTTCATATGGGGAATAAAAAAAACCAACTCTTTGCAAAGATGATTACTTGATGTATATTCATGAATTAAAACAGAAATTTCACAAACAAAATGAAGAATTAGTCAACCAACTAATAACAGATTATTGTTGGATTTATGAGTTAATAAATAACAAAATTGTGTTGTTTTTCTTTATCAAATTTAAACAAATCTGTAATCTTTTATAAGAAAAATGCACTCTATGCATTCCAAAGGCAGAAAAAAAATATTTTAAGACAAGGTATTTATATGTATAGTGCTGGCTGGTTACAACTTCATTATGAACAAATAAGTGTCATCTATACCAATAAAGGGGATCTTCAGAAGCTGAAGAGACAGAAGCTTAAATTCTGAGTTCAGGTTGATGCTAATTTTGAGTTTTAGCTGATAGTAACTTTGAGTTCTAGATAATGGTAATTTAGAACTCTAGAAAATGGTAAATTACATTTAGCTGATGGTAAATTTGAGTTCTAGCTAATGATAATTTATAATTCAAGTTAATGGTAATCTTGAGTTCTAGGTAATGGTGATTTAGTGTTCAAGCTAATAGTAATTTTGAATTCTAGCTAATGGTAATTTTGAGTTCTAGCTAATGGTAATTTTGAGTTCTAGCTAATGGTAATTTTGAATTCTAGCTAATGGTAATTCTGAGTTCTAGCTAATGGTAATTTTGAGTTCTAGGTAATGGTTAATTTGAGTTTTAGGCAATGATAATTTTGAGTTCAAGTTAATGGTAATTTTGAGTTTAAGTTAATGGTGATTTTGAATTCAAGCTAATATTAATTTTGAATTCTAGCTAATGGTAATTTTGAGTTCAAGTTAATGGTAATTTTGAGTTCTAGCTAATGGTAATTTAAATTTCTAGCTAATGTTAATTTTGAGTTCAAGCTAATGGTAATTTAGAATTCTAGCTGATGGTAATTTAGGAGTTTTAGCTGATAGTAATTTTGAGTGTTTTAACACAAGAAGACACAAGTGTCACAGGAACATAAACAAATTATTCCATTGACACCGAGTATTAAAGTTTTGGCTGTTACCATCCACGACAGTTCTTTTCAAATAATTTGAACTGGTAAACCAACTTTCTTTATCTTCATGCAAATACTAACGTATCTTTTTCTCTTTCAAATGTTCATTATGATTTTGGAATCCCCCTAAAAAATCTCTTGGTTAAATGTACCTAATTCTGTCCAACTGCAAGCAGGAATGCTGCACAAGTCTATTTTAACAGGTTACTACTTAAAGCACAGACTCATTCATTTAACCCAAAAATAAAAGCAACAAGGAATTGCTGCAATCAAGAAAAATTAAAATCACCAGGGCTAATATCACTTGAAGCCAAAATGGACATAAATGTTTGCATTCCAACAAAGAAGGTTGGTTTAAATATTTTTTTTTACATATTTTAAAGAACTGAATAAATTTCATGCAAATTTAAGTGGAATTTCAAATCAGAAAAAGGTACAAGCTGCTGAGTCTCCCAGAGAAGCAAAAAGGTAATTGATGACCAAGTTGTCTAATTTTTTAAGTACATTGAGCTGAGAAAAGTAATTGATGGCCAAGTTGTCTAACTTTTTAAGTACAATGAGCTGAGAAAAGTAATTGATGACCAAGTATTCTAATTTTTTAAGTACATTGAGCTGAGAAAAGTAATTGATGACCAAGTTGTCTAATTTTTTAAGTACATTGAGCTGAGAATTTTTTCTTTAACAATTTCACACAAAAGTGGACTGCAGAACAAACTGATAAAATGTAAGCTTACTTTACTATTGGGATTTTCGTCAAAGGAACATGTGGAACTAGTGCACCGGACTCCAAAGGTAAAGGCAAGGTTGTGACCTCACACTGAGATGCCACATTTTCTAGACTGGAGGCTATTTCTTGCCGTTCCTGAGGACTAAGGTGGTCAAAGAGCACATGAAGCAGGAATGTTGTGTGTCTGAAATGGACACAAAAAAAATATTGTCTTATACAATGTGTGGGTTACATGTCACTCATCATATCCGATACATGAAGGTTGTATGCCACTCATTATAAACACTGTGTGCACTGTATTCAACTATTCATAAATAAGGTGTGGGTTGCATTCTACTATTCACATAAACTGTGGAGGTTGTTTTCCACTATTCACATACACTGTGTGGGTTGTATTCTACTATTCACATACAATGTGGGGGTTGGTTGTATTCCACTATTCACATACAATGTGTGGATTGTATTCCATTATTCACATACACTGTGTGGGTTGTATTCTACTATTCATATACACTGTTTGTGTTGTATTCCACTATTCACATACACTGTGTGGGTTGTAATCTACTATTCACATTCACTGTGTGGGTTGTATTCTACTATTCACATACACTGTGTGGGTTGTAATCTACTATTCACATACACTGTGTGGGTTGTATTCCACTATTCACATACAATGTGTGGGTTGTATTCTACTAATCACATACACTGTGTGGGTTGTATTCCACTATTCACATACAATGTGGGGGTTGGTTGTATTCCACTATTCACATACACTGTGTGGGTTGTATTCCACTATTCACATACAATGTGGGGGTTGGTTGTATTCCACTATTCACATACACTGTGTGGGTTGTATTCTACTATTCACATACACTGTGTGGGTTGTATTCTACTATTCACATACACTGTGTGGGTTGTATTCCATTATTCACATACACTGTGTGGGTTGTATTCCACTACTCACATACACTGTGTGGGTTGTATTCTACTATTCACATACAATGTGTGGGTTGTATTCCACTATTCACATACAATGTGTGGGTTGTATTCTACTATTCACATACAATGTGTGGGTTGTATTCCATTATTCACATACACTGTGTGGGTTGTATTCTACTATTCACATACAATGTGTGGGTTGTATTCTTCTATTCACATACACTGTGTGTGTGAGTTGTATTCCATTATTCACATACACTGTGTGGTTTGTTTTCTACTATTCATAGACACTGTGTGGGTTGTATTCTACTATTCACATACACTGTGTGGGTTGTAATCTACTATTCACATTCACTGTGTGGGTTGTAATCTACTATTCACATACACTGTGTGGGTTGTATTCCACAATTCACATACACTGTGTGAGTTGTATTCCTTTTTATATTGCTTATTACATAAACTCAGTGAAGGATGTATGCCACTTGTGGGTAGAACACTGCTTATATCTTGGAGTAGTTTACAAAGTAAATGATACTTATCAACAAAACTCAAGGCATATAATTCTAATCTGCTGTGTTGCAAAATTCTGGATTCAAATGAATAGCTCTTGTGTTAGTCACAGCAGGAAGTTACTTTCTTTTCAATAAATGTTCTCAATAAACCTATTCTCAGGCAAGGTACAAGAT